AAGAAGAAGAAGAAGAAGAAGAAGAAGAAGAAGAAGAAGAAGAAGAAGAAGAAGAAGAAGAAAAGAGAAGAGACTCCACTCTAGATACAAATATATACCCCAAAGCCACAGCCCCAATTTCCACCTCCTTCAGCCTCACCTACTACTTCAGTTACCACTCAGTTAATCCCCATCAGGGGGTTCAGTTACTGATTGGGTTAAGGCTCTCACAACCTAATCATTTCTCCCCTGAACATTCTTGCATTGTCTCACACGTGAGCTTTTGTGAGACACCTCACATCCAAACCATAATACTGTCTATTACTCTTTCCCACTGTTAAGCCTCTCTGATTGCTGGGAACATCTCATTTTGAACCAATCTGACTCCCTTGTCACTTACCTGCTCTGATCTGTTGGGGGTATCCAGGTTCTGGTTATCTGTCCCTGATAGTCTTGAAGTGTCCGAAGGTTGAAGACACTCAGTTCCCCCATCAGGACCATTCCTGTCCTGGTTGTCATCCTCTGGGTTCTTTCCTGGTGGTCAATAACCTGCCTGACAGTATCCCCTAGAAGGGAGACTGGTGGTCCACGCTTGGGCCTGGCCCTTATCACAGAGTGGACTTATTTACTCCTGGTGGCTCTGAAACATCCATGGCAGCCTGAGGTCACAGTGGTCACACTGAACTTGGGCAAACAGTGCTGCTCTTTTTCATCCAGTTCTCATGGAATCTATACTCATTGGCTAGAACACATGCAGAATATATCTTGAGACCATATCATTTATCAGGTCCTGGGGAGACAGAGATGGGGACGATACAAGCTCCAGTCTGTAGGGGGCGCTTTAGGATCCCAGCACCACCAAGTATTGGCTGCGCAGAGGGAAACCTGGGTCTCTAACTTTGACCTATGGCTGTGAAGAGAAGCTAGTGTATTCATCATGCTCTCAGGCACATAGTGAACTTCTGATTTGGGCGCTGAAGAATAAATGGAGTTTGGGGGGATGGTTGCATAACATGGTGAATGTTCTAAATAACACTTTGTTGGACACTTGAAAATGGTTTTAATGATGAATTTTACGGTAAGTGAATTTTACCAGGATAAAATATAGAGAATAGATGGAAGTTTTCCAGGTAGAAAAGGTGCGTGGGAGCAGGAGAATGTAGCATCTTAGGTAAAATAATGTTTCTGAGACTTATTGGTGAACTGTTGCATAAGACAAGAGTCAGGAACAGAGCTTGTAGGCATTCCACCAGAGACATGCTAGCCAAGGACCACTTTCAACTGATGCTAAGATCCAAGTCATATTTTACTTTATTATGCACCAAGATAACTTGAAAGATTTGCCAAACATCCTGCTAAAATTGAGACCAAGGTGAGGTTAGCTCAAGGGGATTTTGAAGGACCTTAATTCAAGTGAGAGATGGAACCGACTGAACCAAGAGGGTGGCGCTCAGTCTTTCCTGCACGGTAGAGTTACCTGGGGGAGGTTTAAGGAAATACATGTGAATTTGCAATCCTGGGAGGTGGTGCACGTGCCCAAGTGTTTAAGCGTCTCAGGTGATTCTGACACACAGCCAAGGTGCAGAACTTGGGTCAACTAACAGGCTTGAGTTCTTTTTATCAAGGGCGTGTCCTGTTCCCCATTGGCCCGGTTGCTCAGAGAGCACCCAGGTCAACATCTGACAAGCCAACTCCCTCTGAAGGGCTCCATTCTTCTTTTTGGAGGCGGGTAGTACTGGAAATAATGTGGATAGAGCATGAGTAAGGTCGGAGAAAACACATGTTACCAAAGCAGATCTTTTAACCAGTTTATTGTATTTTTACAATAAAAATAAATTAGTCATACACAAAAATAGTTGTCATTTTTGCTGAAGAGAAAAACAGACTGTATTTACTCATATAATTCACCTTCTACTCACCACCTTCTTACATAATAATTTAACACTATGAAGGAACATGGAATTGATGGGAGCATTTAGTGAACTTATTGCTCTGAGTCATGTGGTTCACAGGACGTCCCCAAGGAACTGGCTCCAGCAGTCCCCAGCAGGGACTGTGGAGGTGTCATCAGAAATGAGGAGGCTACCCCATCCTGCCAGGCGACCCTCCTCCTTACCAGCTCTGACCAGTCCTCCTGAGCAACAGATGCTGGTGAGCCCAACAGAGAGGGCAACAAAGAAAGAACGAGAAGGACAAGACACATGTCCTTCTCCAAATGTTGGGGGATGAGGAGAGAGCAGATTATATGAGGAAATATAATATTTAAGACAGAAAGGTGGCAATCCGGTTCAGGTACAATACCAGGGGTGAAAGTCCCTTGAACAAGTCAAAAAGCGGAGCAGTTTATACTTGACCTCAAACCCCAAGGAGTTTGGCTAATCAGTATACTAAACAATTGTAAAAAACGGACTTAGAATCTCTTAGGCATTATTGTGTGCAACATTCCAGGGAACTGGGTTAGTATGATCAGATGATCTTACACAAAATGTGGATGGCATATGTAAATAAATACCTATTAGGTCCCTTTAAAATTAACATACTCTAAATAATAGAACTATTTTGGTGTAATGACTCATTCTGCACATAGAGTTCAGAATACATATTTCCTATAAACATTTTGTATTTACAAAGAACAAAATAATAAGTTATAACAAATTATATCCTTCTGTCAAACTGGATGGCGGGGAGCTGGGGGTCAAGGCATGTGGGAGTTAGTTTGTGTAACAGAATGGGTTTCCTCTCACTGAGGTGAGGGACTCATTGTCTGGAAGATGCTGAGAAGGTTGGCTGGAAATTTCCACCATCTCGTGGTCATTTTTCCATGGCATGATGGGAGTTGGATAGGCCCAGGAATGGGGGACAGATGGTTCAGGGTGGACAGAATTACTTTGCACCAGCAAAGGTGCAAGAAATCAGAGGAGGTAAGAGAGTTCTGTTAGGTAAAGGAGCCCAGCCAGGAGGAGGCTCAGCCTCCATCAACATGTGTGATCCCAGAGAGGCAGCTAGGGTCACAGCATGCCTGCACACTCCTCTGTGGCACAGGACCAGATGAGGCAACGCTGACCACGTTGTTAGTGATGCTCTGAGATATGAGGCCACAGGCAGCTCAGGGGAGCGGTGTACTGGCGAGCTTGAACTGGCTGACAGGGTGGCAAAAGTCAGGAAGGGGAAGTATGTAGGCAGTGCACTTGCCATCCCAGAACAGATGGATTAGAGAAAACTGTGCTTCTTACAGAATCACCAAAGCCCAGACCTGAAAATGACCTTGAACATGATGGTGCCCAGCCAGATGTCTGAATCCCTCTCCTGCAGCCCAACACATGGCCATTTGGCCTCTGCTCACACCTCCATGACGGGTCAGTCACCACCTGCCTTAGAGTCCCTCTGCCTTCAACAGGATCCAACTTGTGGACAGTTGGTTTTCCTGCAAGAGTTAACATTTGGCTCCCTGCAACTTGTACCTCCTTGTCCTAAGATGGCTTTCCTGGTGCCTGAGTCTCTGCTCCAGGCTGCACGTTCTCAGGAGGTCCTTTCTGCTGTTTCTGATCATCTGCATTCTTCACTTGGACTCGACATTCTCATCTGAAAACACGTGATCAACAGTCTTCCTAAAGCATGGCTCCAATGATCACAGACAAAAAGGGGTTTGACTCTCGTCCATGTTTTCTTCTTGCATAGTCTAAAGGTATTTTAAGCTTTATTTTTTTTGGTGGCTTCCTCCTGCTTTCTCAATACACTGAGCTGAGTTACCTGAAACTCTTACATCTCTTGCACCTGTTACTTGTGTAGCTAAAAAAAAATTCCAAATGTAAACCTTTATGTTGCTTCCTACTGACTTGTGAAGCTTTGGGATTTATTCTAGCTTCCCTGATCTTATTTGATTCAGAACCTGTTACCCAAGCCATTAGCTCCACAATTTCATTGTTATCCACAGTTTCTATTGGTAGGGCATCTATTTTCCTAAGTCATATTAAAAAATGTCTTGTATGACAAGGGATCAAATGCTGGTCTCTGCCTTCCAAACTGATACAATCATTCAGCTTGTCTTATATTTATGTTTTCTTCCACATTAGAAATTGATATTTCAACTCTAAAATAGGTGTATTAATAATAATAAAAAAAAGACAGTTGCTTAGGAAGGCTGGCTTGAGTTTGAGATTCTCCTGTCTCAGCCTCCTGAGTCACGGGATTATAGGCATGAGCCACCATGCTCAGTAATAGTGGCCTGGAAAGGCAATATCTAGATTTCTCTCTCTGCCTACAGCTCCATGAAAATAAACCAGGCTGGTGTCCCTTTCACTCCTTTATAAAGCCACACTTTCTAAAATAAAAAGTGCTGAACCTAAACACTTTGAGAATAAGTGGGAGATACATATTCAAGGACATAAAGAAAAAAACAATATCCAATGAACTCTGGGCCAGAGAAGTGAGACAAAAGGACAGATAGGGCAGTTCTGAGCATTCCTGCCATACAGTGGCTCTTGTGACTCCCAAGAGTCGGAAGGAGTCTCCCTCACTGTGGTTTCCCACCAGCTGGCAGCTATGGCTTAATGAAGGGAACTGATGCCCTCTAGTGGCCGGGTTGACAAGGTGTCTTGTTAGTGTTATTATGAGGTCCCTTTTCCGTGGCAAAAACTATAGGTGGTGGTGAGAACGTGGAGGATGGATAGGTCGGGTTGGCTTCTACCTAGGGCAGCAAGAGGCACCATTTTCTTTTCTGATAGTGAAAGAAACAAAGCAAACTACTTTTGTTGGAAGTTTTGTTTTTCTTGCGTCAAAAACATATCATAGCTTTAGTTTATCTAATTAAAAAACTCAGATCATGAAATGGGGCAATCCAATGCACAGAAAAAAAACCTGTTAAGATAAAAACTTCAATACCACATTATGGCAAGGTAGGAAAAATGGAGAGACCTGAGAAGGAGATGGCAGATAATAAAAGGAGAGGGTGAAAAAATGGGGACAGAGGAAGGAGACAGAGCCACCTGGAGGGAGAGAGTCATCCCAAGGCGGGCTTTTCTCAGACTTCCTCCCAGGAAAGTGGTCTGGAAACACCCGACGGTCTGACTGCATGGGTTTTGTGATGGAGAAGGGCATTTGGATACCCGAATAAAAAACTAGGGAATTAGCAAGAATTGGCTTTCTAAGACAAAAATGTCAACAAACCCTCTGTTCTATAATCTACAACCTTCCAAAGACTAACAAACTCCAAGAACAACTCAGTTGTTTGTTGTAAGAATAAAAAGACCTCTTGCTGAGGTGCCCTTTTTCCTGGAAGACATGTCCCTTTGTTCCTACCTGGCCATTATCATGGGAGGATCATAGTCCTTTGAAGGAACTGTTAGGTGACATTCAGGATCACAGGACACTGTTTCATGTCAAAGAGACAAAGCCATGTTGACCTCACCTGGTCATGAGATTCCTGAGTTGGAAGGACCAGCATGTGCCCCTTCCTTTTACTTGACAGAGAAGTCCCTTTGGGGACAGAGAGACCCAGGGGTGTGGTGGCCCATGCCTCTGTTGGGCAGCTTTGATGGCTAGAACATTTTCCCTCACTGGAGCTAAAAGTCAGCCTTCCTCTCTTCCATTCTGTCTTGTCTCCAGCATGTAAAGAAAACCTCTTCCAGACAATCTTTCAAATGACCAGCTTGTTTAGTGATATCTGGAAGCAGCTGCATTATAGTAAAAACTTCCCTGTGACAAGAAGCAAAAGCAAGTGGCAAGAGGGAAACAGAAGGCACTGGACAGAAACTGTCTATATATGTGGCTTCTCACATCTCCTTTTGTTTGGTCAGCAGGGCAGGCTGGGCTTCTGCTGGGCTGTGGACCTGCAGGAGTCACATGAGCATCAGGGGAGATGGAGATGCTGTGGGAAGTGGTGCCTGTGCTCTCCAGGAAGAGGAGCTGGGAGGGACCCTCAGAAGGCCCAAGGCTGGTGGGAATCCTAGTGGCATGTGCTGGGTCAGGCTGGTGATATCACTTCCCAAAGCTGCAAATAATCATCCAGTTGGCAGAGTTCCAGGTAAAAGAGCTCATGGGAGAAACTCAGTTGCTAAAAATACAGACTTGCTTTACAAGGGTAACATGCCCAGGGCCAAAAATAAGAGACATTTTCTATAAGTTTACAGTTATTTAGCTTGATACCTTTCTTAATGAATAAAAGAAAAGAAAAATATTGCTCTTAAGTGGTTTTTCAGTTGGTTCATCTTTCAATATGTGCTACACCTTGCTGCAGGCGTGAGGTCTCTGGAACTACATAAAGTGAGTCAGGAAATATGGGAGGGGCTTCACAGCTCCTTTTCCCAGGCTGACAGCACAGGCAAGGGTCTTCCTGGTCAAGTCTGGGAGGAGGTAAGGATTGGGAGTCATGGGAGTCATGTGATTTAGATGTTTTTTTGGGGGACCTACCGGCTCGACTTTCTAGTAGGTGGTGAAGAACATGGGAGAGATGGCTGAGGAAGGCAGGAGCCCAGAGCCTAGAGCCCAGAGCCCAGGGCTGTGGGCCTTGGGAATCTGCTTTGCCACATGGAAGGCCCATGGCCAGAGGGACTTGTCAACTTGAAATGGAGCCAGAATTCCAGACAATCACCTGGTTCTCCCTCTGGCTTTCTTGTCTCATGGGACAGTTCTGCTGAGGGTGGAGTTCAGCCAAACCTGCAGAGCTCTGTCACTAGGGCCTGTAACTTTGTGGGGAAAATGGAAACAGAAATCTGAATCGTGGGAATGAGGACTCGACCTCCAGGTGGAGGAGAGAATTCAAAGGCCTGAGCTTTGTTGCTGGTGGAAACTTCAGGCTTTTGGTTAGAAATGAAGCTGCATCCTTCACACCTAAGACCTCTATAGTGGTAGAGGTGCGGTTGGGTAAGGGTCATGTGCAGGTGATTGGAACAGGCACTCAGTTCTGCCACGGAATGGCAGGTCAATGACCTGAGCTGAGCCTCAGATATTTCCTTGTCAATAAAGTGGGACGATTATTTATCCCCTGCTTCCCATTCTGGGATGTTGTGACGACTAATAAACTAATATCTGTGAATACACCTGCTAAACAATGAAGCACTACATTAATGTGAGATATCTGTGTCATAAGGCAGCAAAACAGTCTAATGTCTTTGAGAATGAAAACAGGCATAGCCAGGCTGAGGTGACAGAGGGTGCACAGGTCTCAGCAAGGCTTGGCGGGTCTTTGGGACGGAGCGCTGCCTCTGACTGTCCAAGGATGCTAATTTTGGAAGGCCAGTCACACCAGGGATGAGGCAGTGCTTGGTTAGTGGCCTGTCTGCTTACGTGCAAAGCACCAGGGCAGGAGTTGGGCTGAGAGCTACGGAGTTTCCCATGGCTTGGTTTTCAGAGAGCACCGTTAGCAGATGCCAGGTCTCAAGGAAGGGGTCATCAGTACATAATGATGATTAAAGGACCCACTGTGGCTTACTAACATCCGGGGCACAAAGCTCCTGGGTACACTTGACCAAAGGCAAGGGTGGTGATGAAGTTGACTGTCAGTGTCCTGGGCCAGGGAGCCAGGCAGGCACATTGCTTATAGCCCCTGGGAGGGCAGGGATGATGCCCTGCTGACGGGAATGCGGGGTGTTATCTACTCCCCAGGAACCCTGCATGCCTATTGGCCACACGAGTGCAAGAGGCACAGCAGGCGGTCTTGTAGTAGTTGTAGACACAGAGACGGGCCTGGACCACCACGTTGCAGTTGTAGTACTTGTCCTTGCAGTTCTCATCTGTAGTGGGAGAGAGAACACAAGACTCCTGAGCTCAAGAGGCAGCCTGGACCAGAGGAAAGAGGAAGGGCGGTGGATATGGCTTTTCGTCCTGTTCCTGCTATTTTGTTAATCTTTTTTGTTTTTTAAATAGGACTTTTTGTTGTTGTTGATAGACCTTTATTTTATTTATTTATATGTAGTGCTGGGAATCGAACCCACATACCAGGCAAGTGCGATACCGCTGAGCCACATCCCCAGCCCTATTTTGTTAATCTTGTAGTTCCAACTCTAGAAAAACTAGGGCTAACAGGAACATACCTCAATATTGTAAAAGCAATCTATGCTAAGCCTCAGGCTAGCATCATTCTGAATG